GGCGGCAGGGGGGGTGGGGGGGGTGGGGCCGGTCCCTCCTCCCCAGCCCGCAGGGCCTCGTGGGGGGCGGGAGGGGACTGTCCCATATAAGCCCCGGCTCTTGGGGCATAGCCGCCCGCACCCGCTGCGCTGCACTAGGGGAGGAGAGGGAGCCCCGGGCTTGAGCGGGACTTTTGTCCACAACTTCTGGTCCTCTCCCGCCTTCTTTCCAGCCTCTGTTCCCCATCTTCTTACAGGCGTCCGCACCTCAGGACTTTCCCCCGCAGACTGCGAAGGGACCCACACTTCGGGGCCACTTGCCGCCTGGGGAGGGCGACTCTCCTCCCATCCACTCAAGATGCTCAGGGGTCCGGGACCCGGGCTGCTGCTGGCCGTCCTGTGCCTGGGGACAGCGGTGCGCTGTACCGAAGCCGGGAAGAGCAAGAGGCAGACTCAGCAAATCGTGCAGCCTCAGCAAATCGTGCAGCCTCAGTCCCCGGTGGCTGTCAGTCAAAGCAAGCGTGAGTACCGACAGTCTGGCTGAAACCAAGCGGCCGGCTGCAGGGATGGGTCAGTCCTCAGCGCCCGCTGAAGTTGTAGCGAAAGTTTTGCGCGCGTGCGTGGCTGGGCGAGCGTGTGTGAGTGCGCGCTTCACTGAAAGAAACCAGCTGTGGACACAAAAGGCTTAGGTTTGAACAGGCTGGTTGGGGGTGGAGGGCTCTGGAGAAGATCCTGCAGTTGGGGAGGGGGACCTGCTGGGCAGCCCCCCCCCCCAAATTTTTCTAACCAATTCTACACCTTCAGATTGCCCTGCCCGGAGCCAAAACTTGTGGTGAAAGAGAAAAGTGACACAAATTTAGACATTTTACGTCTGAGATTAGCGTGATCCCCTCTGCTCCTTATTTTCTTTATTACTAAATAATTGGTTAAATATTTTCCAAATGGGCATGAGGAAAGGATATCTAAATAGTCTCTGACCAACTTGAAAGAGTTGGCTCGGTGCTGCCGTTGGGCTACCTCACCAACAGCAAGGATTGCAATTTCTCTTGGAGTTTTTTAGAGACACACCCTTCTTTTACTTGGGGCTAGAGGAAAATTTAAAAGTTCCCCCTCCTCATTTTTTTATTTTTGAGTTAGTCTCACACTGTAGCCTAAGCTAGCCCCATTACTCTTCCTGTGTAGCCTAGGCTCGTGTTAAACTTGGAGCAATTCTCCTGTCTCAGTTTCCACAGAGCTGGGGTTACAGGCATGGTCAACAGCACACCCAACTTAGCGTTTTCTTGTCTTTTTTTTTTTTTTTTTCTAAGACTATTGAAGTGATTTTAAAGGTGATTTCTATTATTTGTGTATCATAATGTTTCCACATTGCTGATGTAGTTCTCCTGGTCAGATGGACATGACATCATTATATAACTTTTAGCCAAGTTAAAAGATAAGAAAAAATATGTAAATACCCACCTACATAAATAATGCTTAAGTCTTTGGACAGCTAGTTTCCACTTCCTTATTTTAGTGGAATATTGTTTTTATGAGATTTTTGTGTTCGTTCAGTCTTGCCAATTCTGTTGACAAAATTTTGTTCGGGGAATAAAAGAGGAGGGATGAAATTGTAATTACCTTTCCCTTCAATTCTTCACAGCTGGTTGTTTTGACAATGGAAAACACTATCAGATAAACCAACAGTGGGAACGCACCTATCTAGGCAATGCCTTGGTTTGTACCTGCTATGGAGGAAGCCGAGGTTTTAACTGTGAGAGTAAACCTGAACGTAAGTGGAATGCAGTCTGGTCGCTGGCAAAAATGATGCTGACTTATTAAAGTTAACTTTCAATAAAAATAATTTGCCCCCCCCACTCCACCCCTGTAGAACTGCCGCTAATTCCCTCTTTGTCAAACCTCTGGTATTGGCTTTTCACATGCTCCTCTTACCCCTAAAACAAATGTATTCCAAACTAGCTTCCAAAACCTTCATTTTATTCTCAAAGAATTTGATTAGAAAATGAAAGGTTTTGCCTGTCTTTCTTCAAAAAGAAAACTTACAAAAGTTTGCTTATAAAAGTTTAATTTATTAGAAAGTTATCTCAGATCTTTGGCTCTCACATTATGGGCCAAGAAATGCTTTGAAGCTCCTGTGTTGTAAAGTGATTTGTTAGCTGCAGTTCAATGAGAAACCACCACCACTTCTGAGACTTTGAAGGCCCTTGATATGTTTCTTGTGAATCACAGCGGTCCCTCCAGAGAAACTGCTCAGGCTACAGGGGAAACATGTCAGTCAGGCTGACAAAGGCCAGTGCCTGCTGAGAGGAAGGCAACCTTCAAACTGTGTGCCTCCCACGTGGCCCTTGAATTGATTTCCCCAGTTTGAGGCTGGAATTTGAAACCTTTTCTTTGCAACTCAGCTGGTCATAGGGTGTGGCTTCTTCCTGAGAATTCTTTACATTGTAAAGAGAGAACAAATTGCAGAGCTTGCCAAAGGCCAAGAACTATGGTTTCATTAAATCATAACTTGAAATTTTTTGAAGTCTCATCTCAGTTACTTGTAGTGTTGCTACTTGTGACCCAGAAGAGGGGCATCTCCCTCAGATGGATGGGAGGGATAGACAAGCTTTTATGTGTGTGAGGCTCACGTGGGCTTCTTCTTCTCCACAGCTGAAGAGACTTGCTTTGACAAATACACTGGGAACACTTACAAAGTGGGTGACACTTACGAGCGCCCTAAAGATTCCATGATCTGGGACTGTACCTGCATCGGGGCTGGGCGAGGGAGGATCAGCTGTACCATTGCAAGTAAGAAAGGCGCTCTGTAATGTGGTGGAGGGCCCATAAACATGTATTTCTCCATCCTGTCCCTGCCGTTTTCTATTGCCTGTGACAGAATATTTCTTACTTTGGGATTTACCCCTGTGACCCTACCCACGTGGTCACCCACCTACTTCTTGTACCTAAGCTGAGGAAGAAGGGTCTAATAGAGGGGTGTGTGTGTGTGTGTGTGTGTGTGTGTGTGTGTATGTGCGCGCGTGCCAGTGCACATGTGCACACGAGAGAGAGCATGAGCATGCGTGTATACCGTGGAACCAGGTAGATCTCTTGGTTCTTTTCAATAAGGTATCCACAGAAGATCTACTTATTTTACATTCCCGGGCATCTTCAAGTCAGATTGATCATTTGATCATCTGCAGTGATGAACCAGCCACACTTTTGTTCTTCGTCATGCAGGCTGGTTCTCTATGATGAAGAGGCTAGACCTAGGGAGCTGATCTTTCTGTTCTCAAATAGAACATAGATGATGAGCACAGTGTATTTCCAAGGAACTTTGGTGCTGGGCTTCAAGAACTCTGTAGCTAAGGCAATCTTTCCAGTATGACTCACTGGGTTGCCAGTACTTCTATTAATAAAGCACTTTAAAAAAATAGTTTTTAAATATAAGTCCTATGTCCAAAAGAACCAATCATATACCCAACCAATATTCTCAACACTTAATGTTAGGGTTTTTCCAAGTTTCTTGGCAAAACCCAAGAGTCAATAGCACACAGTGTTTAGAATTCTGTAGACAATCCAGCCATTGGACTCAAAAGCCTGAGAAAATATCACACTTGTGAGTATGTGTGTTTGCTTTCCACCATAGTGGTATTTACTTCTAGAGTAAAATGCAGTCTATCCCTGCCCCAGGAAATTGGAATGCTACACCATATAGCATATTTACTATATAAGAAGCGGCTATTCTTTCCAGTCCTTTTCTATCTTGGGAACAAATTGGCTGTAATCTCTCTGGGGGAACTATTATTTTTGACCCCTCTGCCATTCAGATTTATCTGTGGCTTCCCTTTGTGCTTTAACAATTGACCCAAAGTAAGCAGCTATGTTGTTAGCCTATCTCCTGCCTGTGACAGGAAAGCTGTTCTCAGGTTGAGGGAGTCTCATGTGGGCCCACATAAGTACTTCTCTCAGGTGGAACACGAGATCACCACCCTCCTTAATTCTCTGTATGTATCACTTTATCCTAACATTTGCTTTTTTTCTGGAACAGATCGATGCCATGAAGGGGGTCAGTCCTACAAGATTGGTGACAAGTGGAGGAGGCCACATGAAACTGGTGGTTACATGTTAGAGTGTTTGTGTATGGGAAATGGAAAAGGAGAGTGGACCTGTAAACCTATAGGTAAGCTGCTTGTAGGGATGGTTGTGGGCAAAGGGCAGGGTGGGGTGGGAAGCAGAGCTGTAATGTGTGGATACCAAATCACTGGGCAAGATATCTGAATTACAATGGAAAGATCAGTGAAATGTTATGGGATTCCCAGTCTTAACAAAATTAGATCTTGAAGTACAAACCATGGAGAAATCTTAATTTTGTTTCAAAAGCCTGAGATCGAATTAAAATATTTAGGAAGACGTAATTTCTTTTATCTCTGATGCTGTCTCCTTGGTGAAGACTTGTTATTTAAAGGAGAAAAAGGGACACTTTTGACACATTTCTTGTTGCAACACAGTGGACTAAAACACAACATGGCGTGTGACTCTGGTCACACCTTGGTAATTCCTTTAAAAACAAAACATTTTCTTTTTGTCTCAGCCTCATTTGTACTCTGTGAATCCAAAAGTTTTTTATTCTGTTTCCTTGTTCTTTAAATCATAGTTGTGGTATTTCAAATTTGTTTCGTCTTTGATTTTTATAGAAGTCGAAAATTGAAATAGCTTTCTTCTCATTCTATTTAAGTCATTCGTGATTCAGATTGGGATTTGGTTTAGGGACACGGTTTAGTGATAGAGCACTTGCTGAAGCAAACATAAGGAAGGTCCTGGGTTCAATCCCCAGTACCACATTAATGAATTAAAGATTTAAAAAAAAAATTGGGAGTTTGCACAGCATCATCTCCCATGGGGTACATACATTGATTCTTTCCACTTGAAATGCTAGTGAGAAGCTTGGGAACTGGCAGCAAATAGTCTGTGTACTCATTAGGGGAACAGAGTTTGCCTGCCAACTGGCCCTGGGCTTCC